TTATCTTAATTCATTTCATGATAATTCATTTCACCTCAATCCATGAGTCAAGTCCATTGTTATCCAGACATCCCAACTGAGACTACAACTCAGTGGTTTTCTAACCAATACAATCATTACACAAACACTTCAATTTGTCATTTTACTAAAATTCCGTTCATGGGAATCGGCACCATGTATACTCGCTATTTTTTGGACTTTCACCCTGGACACACAGGCCAAGTTAATTCAATGGAGTCCATCCCCTTTCTTCTTCCAAACATGGAGTATATTCCATTTCTCCTCCTAAACATCATACATCTACAATGTATCAAACACAGTCATATTCAATGACAATAGTTAAGAGGTTAGTTTCAATTTACCTAATCCTCATACAATTTCTACAACAATCATAGCTGTCATCCACCGATAGCCCAAAATAAATGCACAATCTCCATGACAAATAAATTATCCAAATTTCTATAGGTGAGAGATAATACATATCCAACTCCACCATTTATATAAACATTCATCTAATTCCATATTTCTAATACCAATTTCACTATTTATACAAAATAATTAATTTAAACATCTTAGGTTAAAACTCCATTCTCTCCCAAATCCAATCCATGTGTCAAAATCAACATATTTCACACAACACAACCTCATATCAACTCCACGTAAGCTGCTGCCTCTACCAAGGTGTGATATTCTCTATACATTGCCCCGACAACCTTTTCCCAAAAAAAATCACACAATCTTCCCCCAAACTAAGAACAACGTTGCTCCTTTGTTATGACCAACTCCAAAGCGAACCTTGACAAATTGGTGAAACTTGCCTTAAACTATGCCAAAGGAATATCCTCCTGGCGCAACTTAACAAGCTGGTTCTTCAATCTTTCCCAAGTAGATAGAGTAAAATACTTGGCCAAAAAGGCCTTAGTGAAAGCAACCCACGTGGTGCCCACAGAAACTCGCGTAGACTTCCTCCAATAACCGGCGTCTCTCTTCAATTGAAAGCCAGCCAAAACAACCCTTAACTCCTCGTCATCGACTCTGAGTATATCGAGAGTCTTGATAATTTGTTCTAACCAGTCATCAGCCTCTAACGGTTTAGGCTCCCCCGAAAATACAAGTGGATTGGAGCGAAGAAACTCCTTGGTCAACTTAAGGTTATACATATGGTCCTAGTAGGTGAAGTGGAGGTGGTAGTGGTGTAGTGGGTTTAGTGGAGTAGGTGAGGTGGTAGTGGTGTAGTGGGTTAGGTTTAGTGGGGTAGGTTTAAGTGGGTGAAGTAGGTGGATTTTAACATGTATAAAGAGAAATTATTGTTTTATTGATTGATTTATTGAATGTTACAATGATTCCTATATATAGAAGAGTAGGTAGTAGTTGGTGGTAGATGGAGTAGGTAAAGTGGAGGTGGTAGTGGTGTAGTGGGTTAGGTTTAGTGGAGTAGGTGAGGTGGTAGTGGTGTAGTGGGTTAGGTTTAGTGGGTGAAGTAGGTGATAGGTTTTAACAGTTCTTTTTTTTTTTCTTTTTTCTATCTCTATTATCTCTCCATATTCAATCTTATTGCCTTATTACAAAATTCAACTTGGTATCAAAGCCTACCAAACCCTAGGCATGTTTCTCTAGAGTGCTTTCTTTCTCACTCCACATTTTTTGTTATCAAGGTGTTTTTCCCTCTTCCTTGAGTTGACCACTGATTTGCCGATGTGGTAAGCAAACTCTGTAATGTTTACTTGTTTCGGGGCTACCAGTGTGTCCGATATCATTATTTTGTGATATACCCGGCCTGTTTGTTTTCATTATTCTCGTTTACCTTGAGTAACCCTTTAGAGTTGTTGCTGATGTAGTAGGCAATGGTTTCGCTTTTTTCGCATATACGGGGCTACCGGTATGTTCAATACATTCTTTGTGGGACACTGCTTCTTCAACAATCTTGTTTGTTTTGTAATACGTCGTTCTTCCGACCTTTCTGTTTGTGGTAATTTGTCATTGTTTCGGTCTTGTTACTTTCTCTCTCTCAGTTGGTTTCTTTTGCTGCCATCATGACTAATTCCATGCATATTTCTCTATTACATGATGTTGATTCCTTACCTATGTTCTCCGAAGTTGTCATTGAGAGGAGTTATTACAATTATTGTCGTTTTTCAACAACTTAATTGTCGTTTTTCAATTTAATTATTGTGATGATCATTTTATTTTTGAGTTTAAGTTGGACACTTCACTTCAACCATTCTGCGTTCCAACTTGAGGGGAGTGTTGAAGATAAGATTATATTGGTAAAGATATCAGAATATATAGAGATCCTATGATTTGTTCTTATTATGATTTTTTGTATCTTTGATTTGTTTCAACCCTTTAACTGAAGGAATTTGATTATATGTCCCACAATACATATGACATGACATGTAAACAAAAATATCAAGTTGAGTGAATTAAAGATGTAGCCCATAGGGTTTTGTGTGTGTTGATGTAGGCTCATATTGGTTGAATCACGTTAAACCTTTGTATTCTTTCTTTTATCTTTCATGTCTCTATTATCTGTCCATATTCAACCTTATTGCCTCATTACAAAATTTAACTAAAATGCTGTCGTAACTGTTAAAATGTTTTATCCTGTTAAAATATATCATCACCTACCACCTCCACTCAACTCACCTACCACACACACTCACCTACTCCCCAATCCTCTCCTATATAATGAGTACCTCACCATCTGTAATTAACACATCAATCAGAAATCAATCAATAATATATCATTTTTAACATATCCAAATTTAAAATGTCATTTTTTTTTTTGGCTTTGATTTGAGTTTAAAGCTTCAACCCTTTACACCTCTAACACTTAGCCAAGCATAAAGATAGTTCAAATAAATTTTATTTTGAAAAAAAAGTCAAACAGTATGAACAACTTACTCTGTGTCGGAGTTTCTCATTCGAGGAATATATTCATACAATGAAGTAAGGGCCCCTCCACGTGTTATACAAGCTCTCCCTAAGTGTGCAGGTAACTCTTCAATTTCTCTCACAGAAGCCAAACTGCCAATAAATTGGGATAGGATATCTCCAAAATATTGGGAAGCCTTCCTCACCATTAACAACATGTTAGATGTATAATTTTTAATTAAATTTTAGAAAGCATTAAAACACCTAAGGCATATAATATATATATATATATATATTGTTTGATAAACAGAGTTCAAGGACCACACCTCTTTCGCAAACTCAGTTGGGAGAATGTCAACAGCCAAACATATGAGACCATTTCCGTCCATGTCATGATGGTATGAGTTATTAAAGGGATCATATCTACAAGAGATGATTTACTAGATTACCAAACAAGCCTTACATGTACTAAGATTTGTAGTTAGAAACACCATTGAAAGTGTATAAAACATGGCCAACGTCAACAAATTCTCAGCAATATGAAAAAGCACATGATGCAGTTTGTAGGATAAAAGAAATGCTCATGACTCAAAAGATGAGATGGCATACATGCTATAAAAATAGCCTTATTCATTTCCTTATTGATGATACATAACAGCAAAATCAGACAGGCCATTGTTTGGTGCAATGATAGAAGCTCAAGCTGCCATGAGTGAGAGTGTAGGTTTGAGTCCGCAGGCAAATGCTTTTTGCAAATAATGAAAGATTAGCTATGTACTCAGTCCACCTCTCTCAGCACCCACATTTGTGGTACCAATAATTGGTAATGGCCTCTTAAAATTTCAGATAGAATCTGCTCTCTTTTTTTTTGGGATAAATAAAAAGCAACTTTTATTAGAAAAACGAGCATCAAGACGATGCTAACAAATACCACCGGAACTACATTCTAGACAAATAAAGAATCAACTAAATCCAAGAAATAAAATAAATCCGGCCCCACCCTCCCCAACACTCAACTAGACAACACCACCAAAAACTTATTCTTCAAACAAGGCACTGACACCTATAACCCTTGAAAAATCCGTCGATTACGCTCCAACCAAACCAGTCACATTAAACACAAAGGCGCCAAATTCCAAGCCTTCTGACACCTCTTCCCACCCAACCCCCCATCCAACTACACAACACCTCCTTCACAATTTCCTGCTGCACCCAATCCAAACCAAACACTGCAAAAATCAAACCCCAAAGTTAAAAGGCCACAGGACAATGAAGCAGTAGATGCGAGATGGATTCCACATCCTGACAACCCATAACACACCAATTGACCAAAATCTGATGATGTCAAATCAAATTATCCAAAGTCAAAATGCTGTCACACACAATCATCCACACAAAAAATGCCACTTTAGATGGCACACCAATAACCCAGACACTCCGCCACGGTAATGAGCGTTCCATAAGTCCCACCTGGACATGATTAAAAGAGGACACTAAGAAAACTCCTTTAGCACCTTATAACACCATCTCAATCCATCCTCCCCCAACCCCACCGCTTGAATGCCATACAGTAAAGCTAATAAATCCACCAATTGAGCAACCTCCTAATCAAAAACCTGCCTCAGAAACCTCACATCCCACACCACCATCACATCTTGAAAAGACATACAACGCTACCACAGCATCCTTATTTATCGCAAGACGAACATCAGAGGGAACAAAACCACCAAAGTTTGATCACCACACCACATATCCTTCCAAAACTGCATCCGCTCACCCCTGCCCACCCGCTAACTAACCCACCACCAAAACTCCCTCATAACTAGCCAAATACCTTTCCACAAATCGCTTCCATGTGCGACCCTCACCTCATCAAAACACCGACCATCCCACCCAAACACAGAATCTGTCATAACCAAACTACGTAGGGCTGTTCAACATTTAAGCTCACTTGATAAATAACAATTTGCATAACTGAGTTCAGTGTTCAAATAGCAATTTGAGCCCCAAAAAGAGTAAGTGTTATAGATGTAGAAACTTACATAATTAAATGTCAACCAACAATATAATACCTGAAGAAAGGTGAGTCAATTAATGTAGTTTGGTTAACAAACTCTATTGAGCCTCCAATATCACAAGTTATATCAGAGATTCCAACAAGTGGACATCCTTTCCTCATTAGATCTTGCAACTGCTTGGTAGTCAACAACCGAGGAAATCTTTCCTCCCAATACATGCAATTGACTGCAGACAAAAGTTCAAATACTTATGGCTATTTGTCATTGAAGTTTCAAAAGCACTGAGAAGAGAAAAATGTCATGGAGCTTAGCCACTTAACTTCCTAGTGGTGTTAAGTACAATAAAGACATAGAAAAAATGACAGAATACAATAGGAACACATTTATACCACCTTCTAAATGTTCACATGAGTTTAAAATTATATTTTGCATAATTTTGGAAATGTCATCACAGTTGGTAAACAAGCCAATAAGGCCATGATAAATTAGATATCTTATCATTCATTGGCCTACTAGTTTGGCGATGGTTCCTAAACCCCTACATTAAAAGTGTTAGGTTGCTATCTCTTGTCATTATCATATAGCGGCACTAGTAGTAAATGTTGAGAAGCATTTCTTTAATGTTCAGATATGTTGAGAAGTGTTTCCAAACCCCAACATTAAAAGAGTTAGGTTGCTTCTCAACTCTCCTCTTAGTGTATGGCTAAGAAGCATAGACACATCTAAGTAGGTAACATGTCATATCTGACACCGACCCGACACAACCAGACACTCATCAAACACTTCCCAATACTTAGACAACATAAAAACACATTATAAGTTCAAATGAAAAAATTTAGAATCCAATGATAAAATAAAAACATCGTAAATTTATACATGTTTTCCTCTTTTAGACTTTAAAAATTATTATATTTGACTTAATATTTATAGATATGACATATAATACTTATTTATCCTTATATATGACATATAATAAATATATAAGATTATATAATTTGCATGTGTCCCCCACATGTTGTGTCCTACATATTTTGAAAATTTGCAAGTTGGCGTGTCCGTGATGTGTCACATGTCTGTGTTCATGGTTCTTAGGTGTATGGGTAGCAATAATTAATTCATCATTACCTTTCCTCTAAGAGCATTGCCCTAAATTGGTCCAATAAGCTTGGTGTGTTGTGAGGGTGAATTGGCCATTCACACACTCTTACCTAACTTCTCATGCTTTATAGCCTAAATTTTACCACTTAACCACTTAGAAAATATGAATATTTTGAAAATTTGCAAGTTGGCGTGTCCGTGATGTGTCACATGTCTGTGTTCATGGTTCTTAGGTGTATGGGTAGCAATAATTAATTCATCATTACCTTTCCTCTAAGAGCATTGCCCTAAATTGGTCCAATAAGCTTGGTGTGTTGTGAGGGTGAAGTGGCCATTCACACACTCTTACCTAACTTCTCATGCTTTATAGCCTAAATTTTACCACTTAACCAAACCAAGAAATGGCTCCCATCATTAATGGCTCCCATCATTACATACCTTGCTTCAATTTATTTTTAAAGAAAGAAGTAATGACAATAGATTATAGCAAGAAGTATAAAATTTTCTTTAACAATGTATGTCCTTAGCCAACCAGAATATGATAAATCCACCATTTAGTTTCCTTTCTCACTCTACAAGGTGAGATTCATTATCAAGACAAGCCAAACAGAACACCTCAAAAGAATATCAGCAGAAAATTGACAGCACACTCCAAGAATAAATGAAGCTTACTGATGGTGCAGCCCTTAACTGCCTAGAATCCAATTATTGGATTTAAAAGCCTAGGGTAAAACCCATGGACCCAAAGATCTTTTGGTCTAATAAATGTCATTGGTAGATTATTATTATTATTGGTGTTTAGTTTAATTATATAATTATTAGAAAGATATTCTTATTTTGTTTCCAAATAATAAGAAAGATAGTTTCCTATTTTGACTAGGGTTGATAGCATATATATGCTACGGTTTACAGTGTAATAATCAGCTTGGAGATGAAAAATATTGAGAGTGTTTAGGCTGTGGCCATATGTGAGTTTTTCTCCTCCTTCCCTACTGTCTTCTACATCACTTACTGCTTGGTACTGTTATTCTGCCACCTTCCGAACCCTTTCTCGGCATTGCCGCCACCCCCAAACACTTCCCCGTCACTTCCACCACCCTTAATCCTTACCCAGCTAACTGTTCTGGGCCACCACTTACTAGTGGGAACATTGACTGCAGCAGTTTCTAGAACACTTTCATCAGCTTGGTCACACAGACTCTCTCTCTCTCTCTTTCTCTCTCTCTCTCTCTCTCTCTCTCCAATGTATAATAGTTATTTAGATGGAAATAAGGTAGCAAAAAAAATCCAAGGAAGTGTGAGGAAGTCATCAATAATTATTTATAAAGATGGTTCACAAAATCTTTTGGTACAGCAGAGCAGTGGATTGAAGTACAATTGCAATGTAAATGCTACAAAACACTAAAGGTAGACTAGCAAGAACAAAATTATGTGAATATGGTGTTGAGCTATATGTCAATTAAGAGGAAAGTCAAGTAGATAGAAAGGAAGAGAAAGAAGAATTATGTAGAATCAGCTTTCCTTTCTCAAGGATAAGCCATGTATATATATTTATATATATAGTGGAGTGTAGGTTACCAAACCAAACCAAGCCAAGCCTTAAGTCCCATCAAATGGGTTCGTCTAAGTGGAGTATAGGTTACAGGTATAAAAATAAAAATCTCATACATAAGTCATGTTGGAAATAGGAAATAGTGATATTATAATTATGGTAGTGTTGGAATTAGGAAATAGTGATAGTGTAATTATGGTAGTGTATATGAAATCTATAATTGTGTCAATCATAGATTTAATACATTTTTTATCTTCGTTTCCTATTTTGTTCATTTCCTATTCTGTAATATTATTTCATTATAAATACAAGGCTCTACCTCATTCATAGATAAGCCAAAACAATTATTTTCATCTTTTTTGGTATCAGAGCCAAAACACATAAACCCTAGACCACTCTTCATCCCTGGTGGCCCCTATTTTTCACTACCCAGCAGTTTCTTCACCTTCTTTCTTCTTCCTCTAGCAGCCAATAGACCTCCTCTCCCCTCTAGACGACCCGACAGCCTAACCCACCACTTTTAGACCACCCGAAACCACTTACCCACCCTCCTATACCCCTTTGCAGGACTGTATTACACCTATCGAGGGCCTTGCTGTTGCCAACAAGGTCTCATCCTAGCCTAGAGTACTTTGACCATGTCTCCCTCTGGCCTAGATTGGTTCGACACCCTCTTTAGGGTGGTCTGAACCCTTTTTCTCCCTTTTACAGGGTGTAGTGCTGATACTTTAAGCACTTTTTTGTACCTCTTTTTTTCATTTTTTCTTTGTGGGCTACCATGTTTATTCGGTAACATTTAGCCATTGAGTTTTTTCCGGCTTTTCTGGTTGTTTACTCAAACTGTGTTGCTGTATTGTTATCTATTTCAACCCTCATCATCTCCCCATGGATAACTCATCTTCTATCATTCCTACTGAGGTATCTACTGCGGTTTCCACCAAACCTAAGCCTGATCCAAGTACTTATTTTTCTCTTTCCCATCACACTCCTATTCATCGTATTACGAGTGTAGTGTTGAATGGGAAAAAAATTGTTGCTTGGAGCCGTTTCCTTAAACTCTACCTTGGGGGAAAGGTAAAAGCCCATTGGCTTTTATCTACTACTACCCCGCCAGCTGCGACAGACCCTACACATGCTCAGTGGGATATCGATAACTGCATTATATTGGGATGGATGTTCAATTCCATGGAAGATCGGATTTATCATATGTTCCTCTAGTGCGATACAGTTCCAAGTTTGTGGCAGGCATTGTCATAGATGTACGCTCATGCTCACAATGATGCATGTATCTTCGAGCTTTACCAAGATATAGCTCGTGCCTCTCAATCCTCTCTTGGCCTTTCTGTAGCTGAATTCTTTGGATATCTTCAGGTTCGTTGGGAGGAACTTGCTCAATATGAGCCTTTAACTGACCTTCCACCAGAAACCACCTCCCTTGTGTCTAAGAGGCTTGCCCGACAGCACACTTATCAGTTTCTCGTGGGTTTAAACTCTGAATTTGAATATCTTCGAATTCAGATTCTAAACACATCACCCGTGCCATCTCTTTATGAGGCTTTTGCCATTATTGACAGTGATGAGCGTCGCTAGCGATTAGTTCAGCCTAGTGTTCCTCAGTACCTCCAGTTTTAGCAGATCAGATGGCTCTTGCTGCGAGTTCTGGTTCTCAGAGTTCCACCGGTTCTGTTACTTGTCATCATTGTGGTGCGCCTGGACATGTCAAAACCTGTTGCTTCAAACTTCATCCTGAGTTGAGGCAACGCCCTTCCCGTCCTCGTGGTCCTGCTACACGTGGTTCTGGCTTTGCTAGCACCATTGTTTTAGTCCTACTTCTGAACCTCCTAATGTCCCTAATCTACAACAGTTACAAACTCAGATTGGTCAGTTTCAGGCCCAACTTGGGTCTCTCACCACTGGTTCTCTTAGTCCATCATTCTCTATTGTCACCCTTGCTACAGGTACTTCTACTGCCTTCCATGTTCAGTCTACTAGTCCTTCATGGATTCTAGGGCTAATGATTGGTGAGTTTTCTTTTATTTCCTCTCATGCACCCACCATTGCTGCCCAATCTGTGTGACTTGCTGATGGTTCTTGCTCTTCTATCCAACATAAGGGTGTTGTGTCTTTATCCCCTAATAGCACATTATCTTCTGTGTTGCATGTTCCCAAGTTTGCTTATAATCTCTTATCTATTAGTCGTCTTGCCAAAACCTTTAATTGCGCCATCATCTTCTTACCTTCTTCGTGTCTTTTATAGGACCTCAGTTCGAAGAGGATTTTTGGCAGGGGATATGAGCGCAATGGGCTATACAACTTTGGGGATCCACCTGACCAGCCTTCTTCGACTTTAACCAGTTTTCAAGTGTCTATTTTGCCTGCTTCTATATCTTGTGTTTTTTCTATTCAAACTTTAGAGTTGTAGTACGCCTGGGTCATGTTAACTTTCAATATTTATGTCAACTTTTCCCGTTATTAAATAAAGCTTGCAAGGATTCTAAATTTCATAGTGTTACTTGTGAGTTGTCTAAACATATCCATACTAGTTATATATCACATATGACACATGCCCCTAGTGCTTTTGACCTTATTCATTCTGATGTTTGGGGTCCCTCTCCTATTCCTACTTTTTCGGGTCATTGTTATTATGTAACTTTTATTGATGATCACACTAGGTGCACTTGGGTCTATTTACTTCGCTGCAAGTCTGATGTGTTCCCCATCTTTGTTCAGTTTTTGCAAATGGTTAAGACACAATTTCGTACCATTGTTAGGAACATCCGCTCTGATAATTGTGGGGAATACATCTCCAATGAGTTTCATTCTCACCTTAATCGAATGGGTATTCTTCAACAACTTACATGTCCTTGGACCCCTAAACAAAATGGTGTGGCTAAACGTAAAAACCATTAAATTATGTCTGTCGTGCGTTGTCTTCTTCCTGGTATGAGTGTGCCCAAGTCTAATTGGCACATAGCCGTTCTTACTGTTGTCTATCTCATTAATATGACACCTAGTTGTGTGTTACATAGCCTTACTCCATTCCATATTCTTATGCCTAATACTACCCTTTTTCCTCTTTTGCCTCGTGTTTTTGGGTGTACATGTTTTGTTCAGGACTGGCGTCCCACTCGCACTAAGTTAGATGACAAGTCTATTCATTGTGTCGTTGTGAATACGGTGTTGAGTTATATGTCAATTAAGAGGAAAGTCAAGTACATAAAAAGGAAGAGAAAGAAGAATTGTGTAGAATCAGCTTTCCTTTCTCACGGATAGGCCATGTATATATATATATATATAGTGGAGTTTAGGTTATAGATATAAAAATAAAAATCTCATACATAAGTCGTTGATCCATGATTCGTCATGAGCCTCTAATTATTCTAATTCCAACAGAGAACACACGTACAAGCAAAGTGTAGGTGCCATCATGACCAAAAACATTTTGGTTTTATACAAAGGAGTTTAACTTATAATTTCGGGCTCACAGGTGCAGAAAATTAGATTAATGTTGTCTATAGAATAAGTTCTAACTCAAAAAACACCAACCATGTTAAATATTGTTTCTGTTCAGCAGAAGTTAGTAAATAAATGGATACTATTCCAAATTCTACTTACCATAAAAAAATATTATAAATTCTACCCATACCATGGTTTGCTTTCGTTAATCCAAAATTAACTACAAAATGCAAGTAGCATCATAAGCGCACTAGTGACTGGTAAACTGGAAAAAAATGCAAATGGCCAGCCATATCTCCAGTAAAATATATCTTCAACTTACTTTGTCTAATTAAATGGTAGACAAAAATAACAATTTTCACATTGTCAGATTGAATATCAATGAACAGCATAACTACGAAATACCTATAACAGATGCATAGGGAGCTATTTTTTCATGGAAAATGGGGCTGTAGTGCTCTGGATGTGCATAGTAGTCAACCTGAAATAGGATACAATATTCAGGGTTAGCAAACTTTGCATAAAGCTATCTCAAATAGGATTAAGGCATTGCTGATCTTAGTTTCAACTGAACTTGAATATTTCTGATCAAGCAAAAAGAAAATCACATCAACCTTATGTATTAAAATTTAAAAGCAGTATATTTTGAGACCAAAACAAGATAGCAAAAACTGTACTAAGACTAGAACAATGACTGTTGACTTCAAAGTCTTCACTGAAATCTAGCAATAAAAGATTCTTCTCTAGAGAAACATGACAAACTCAATTTCTTCCACATATCATACACACATTAGAGGTGTTCAAAGTTGACTCATGCCAAGAACTATAGTTATTGAGCAGAGATTGAGAGTTCAAACAATATTAGAAAACCAGTTTTGGATCTATGCCTACGAGGTCAGAAAATGAAGCCATTTATTTATAAATAAGTTATGTTATAGGAAAAAGAGGATTCTTGACTTCTTTTTTTCTAATGTGAAAGAGGAGACTAATAGAGAATTACACAGAAAAGAAGAAAAATATTCATACGATTTTTGTGGCCTTAGAAAAAACTAATGACCATTCCCTACAAATAAGTGGACCTTGGGAGGGAAAAAATAGATAAATAAAAAAGAAAGATGTAAAGAAGAAGCTTTGAAATGACAAAACAGAGTGTTGAATGTTTTGATGTTAATACCAGATCCTTCTAACTGGTGAGAGGAGAAACCTGTCATTAATATCAACAGTTTCTAAAGAATGTTCATGTATTTAAATTCCATAATATCGGCCTATGCTTGTCCTCCGCAAGAATTGCCACCTCCTATTGTCATTATTCCCCACCATCAGTCTGATTGATATATATATATATATATATAAGTATTTTGAAGCTGGTATTATAAACAATGTAATTCTCATACTACATGGTGAATCACGCAGACCTTTCCGGTTAGTTGTTCATCACCAAATAAATACTGGGATTTCCATGTGTATCTAGGTGTCCATTACCCTTTTGTGCGTGGTCATTTTCAATGGTTTTTATAATTGCTGCTGTCTCAATTTTGGCATTCCATCAGACACATAAAAGATGAACTTCAGTTGTTTCTTAACATAAGAAATTCACAAATCATCTACTACATGACAAATGTAATGGTATCAATGTAATTAAGCACAAATAAGTCAAAGCTTAGCATATAAAAATAAGTTCACATACTTTGTCAAAAAGTTTTGTAGGATCTTTAGGTTCAACTATGTCTTGACAAGTCACTACACAACCATATACTTGAAAGGCCCTCTTTGATGTCCGAGCAGATTGAGAATCCCTGGCCTAACCAATAAACAAATGGGATTAAATGAAATATGCAATTCATTGTAAGTTTCCTTTTGAGCTATAAAAAATAGAGAACCAAAAGGAGCATACATCTAAGTATCAAATCAATCAATAAAATGGAAATGAAAATTCAGATGCCAGCAAGACATGCATATGCCACAGCATGGGGGGCAACTAAACATTTCATAATCCCATCTGAGCCTCTTAGGTATATTCCTCATTGGTAGTTCCTGCCCTCAATACATAATCTACAAAAGAATGAGACAGTGACTTGCACAAATCACTACAAGGTTATTTCTTGAGCTAGCAGAAATTGCCGCTATCTTGTATTTATGACGAACCTTTCTTTGCATTTACGCAGGTACAACCATCATAAAACCAACACATTTTTGCATGATTTTGAAGCCCTGACAAGTTTTTGATGCAACTGATGCATCCATATAATGTTAAACTTCTAACACATTCTTCTATTTGAGGTTGAACAACAAAAATCTTGAGCCAGAGCAAGTTACAAGTTGATATTTTACACCCTTCTTATTTAAGTTCATATGATTAAATGAACTTTAAATTTTTAAGAATCGTAAAAATGGAAGCATGAGAAGTAAAAATATTGCTTGTTAATCTCACATTCTATCAAAAAGCTTACAAGTGTGTGCAAGCATGTATTAGCATTTAGCACACATGAGAGGAAACCACAAAGAAAAACTTGCAGCTTTGTTGAAACAGACAAATGTCCAAATCCACTATTTTAATTCACTTAATGCTGGTCCACCATATCCAAATTCAATGCTTAGGACAGGACCTCTTCCTGAATCTTAATTGAAATGACATTCACTGCAGCATAAACTTGTGGTTGAAACTTGAAGGTCAATTTGTTATACTGTAACACCCCAGCCCTGCATTGTACAATATTATCCACTTTGGCCTAGGCCAACACGAATTTAAAATAAATTAATAGTAAAAGTCCAAAGCTCACAGTTAGAAGACACTTCACACATACTTCACCAACCGATGTGGACAGAGTACATGGACTTGTTACCTTCACCTCAACTCATTCATCTTGGTTCTAAGTCTCAGGAATCTTGGTCCTTAAATCTGGATCACCACATATACAACCTGCTTTATACCTTTTAGAAATGAGACATATTTCTCCTCCCATATTTGACTAGAAATACAAAATTCAAATAAGTGTGATTCATTTCTGAAAGCTTAAATTAAACACAATGAAATCATAACTACAGGATACAATTGCCTACATTTGTGAAAGAATCAAATATGGTGCTAAAATAAAATAAAACTCAACGTTACCATCGCAAATAGTTCTGGAAGACTACTTGGATCTACAAAAGTGTGAGGAAGAAGCTTGAATATTTCTTGGGCCCCAAGAGAAACTACAGAAATCACGTGAAGTATTTCAACCAAAGAATACTGGAAAAAGAAATATCTGATGTGAACAGTAAATAAATGAACAGGAGACTTTTATAATATTCAGCACTGAATATTCCTACGTGAGAACATGAAAACAAGCACTGTTTATTTCTGGCAATTGAAAGTTAAATTTATGCTCAAACACAGATAATATTTGGAGTGCAAATACAAAAATACTGGAATCAATCTGTACAGCCTACAGATCGTCATATTTATTAAATTTTACACACACACACACACACATATATATAGAGAGAGAGAGGATAAGATGACAGAAAATTCATGAAAGCATTGTTTTAGATTTTTTAATGGTACAATACCATTTCCAGAACCAGTGAAAACAAACACTAGAGGACAGATTCCAGATGATAGTCCAAAAGTTGCTATCTCTTCACCCACAGATATCACTGCAGACTTGGCAGCAGCCAAGGAAGGATACATGTAAGACGCACCCAGTGACAGGAAAGGTGTTGAATATCCAAGATTAAGATACCCTGAAATGACAAAAGTAATAGGTTAACTAAATTTCTTGATAGATACCTACTCGTGATGCATGAACTCCTGGTATCTGTACTTCAACATTACTGAGAAATGTACAATTTGAAGCTCTATATTGAAACAGTAAACAAGATGTGAAAAAACACCTGAAAATTACAGTATGTTTAATATTATAAAATCGAGTGCAAAAGTGCATACGCTGTCCCAATCCACGTAGAAAATCAATAAGTCCAGCTCTACCAGCAAATTTTCCGAATGCAAGTAGCCTTTTTCCATTGTCACCAACAATAAGCTCATAATCAAATAACGATGCCCTTTCGGCTATGATCTAAACATCGCGAAGAATGTCAGCAGTGGCCAAAATATGGTAACGTTATGATGACTGCTATGATGAACTGCACAGGGACGTACCTTATCTAACAATGGCATGTTTTCTTTCTGCGCCTTGTGAGTATGGGAGAAAAAAGCATAGGCTCTATCAGGAAGAATCTTCTCCAACTGCCCAGAAACAAAATAATTTTAGAGTTCGTGACTGTTAGAAGGAAAAAGAAAAAAAATGGAAAACAGAAATGTATAGCACCTTTGGTTGTTTGATACCCAAGATAAGACCACATTCTGACAAGTCATCTGATATGTCGCAGCCAACATCCTCATAGAGAGCATCATGATGCACACGCTTTGTTGATGGCTGCACAATAATGCGGGCTACTCCAGTTTTACCCTTGTCACTATGTAGCAGTCGAGCGCAGTGAGAGGGGGAAAGAGGTGCCCTTCGTTCCCACTTGTTTGTAGACTCAGAGAGGATTCCAACAATTCCATTTCCAAGCATCGTTCCTTTGTCAATATCCTTATATTCTTCACCACAAAAATAAATAAATGACATAATGCCAACTATTCAAGATTACCAATCAAATAAGAGCACTGGTCTCTGACAGTGACAAGCATATGATCACACTTGATTCATGTCATTCCAATTCCAAGTAAGAAAAATGTAGGAGAATTTGTACGAAATGATGAAAGTGTAGTATTTATACAAACATAAGAGTCTGTCAAACCATCTAGTATCTAGTTCACAAAAGACAGCTTCTGATGCAAATATTAGTGTGTGTAGGCAGCTTCTTTGCATATTTTGATGTGTAATAATACTGGCACATGTACACAAACTTGCATTCTGTTTTCTTGGATTACTAAAAATATACGAGAACTAACAAACACACGAGTGACCTTCAAAACAAAAACCAGTTGATTGAAACGCTCTCATCAACCAATCCATTACTTGCTTCAAAAAATTTCTTGCAAGCGAATTATAGAATCATACAGTGGTTTATTATGTACGAGTACGATTATGGCACAGAATGGATTTGAGTTGCCTACAATTTGATCAAGATTTGTATTGCATACACTTTGATCGATGACCAGGGCAACCAACACACCACACATTTTAATTCTCTTATGCTGTGTTTGGTTCACAGGAATGAAGTGAAATTGATGTCCATTCTCTGGTTCATTCATTAAGACAAGTATTACAAATGGAATAATCATTCGATAGGATGCTAAGAAGTCATCATTTTATTCTATTCTATTCTATTCCATTTGATTCGAGTGAAGTGAACCAACAACTACGTTAGGGTTCTTCAGCAGCAAGATAATTTAATTGAACTTTACGAATCATTGAATTTTAACCCAAAAAAAAAAAAACCAGCATAGAAGCATCCAATACAACCACATACAATACAATACAATACAACACAATTTTATTTTTATTTTTATTTTTTTATGGCAAGGAAAGGCGCCTTTTTCTTCAAAATTGTTTGATAAATTTAAGACGAAAACCTACAAGAAGAGAGATCAACGAAAACAAACGCCTTTAATTAATTTTGAAGTCCGAACAAAACAGAGGACAAGTGCGGACAAGGTTGTGTTCGTTTAGGCTTGCTTTGCTTTAGGATGATGATGATCAGCGGAACAACAACTCTTTGAGAAAAGGACAAACTACATACATTGTTACAACAATGATAATAATTATAGTTATAGTAACGTGTGATTAACAGTATAATATACAAGTCGAGGAAGATGATACTACCGTTTTTGATGATTTATGTAATGAATATCCGACTGCTCGCTTGTATGCGATTCCTCTACTCTACTCAACCATCTGAGCCTCCTCTGCCCAGGCCAGTATTTATTGTTGTCGTGAACTGGAGAGAGACATAGAGACAGATTCACGTTTTATCAGCAGCCAACACAGCACATCCATTTTTATTTGAAAAATTGCTATGTACATCAAATAATTTATTTAATTTTTTATTATGTTAATTTACATATGGATAGATTTTACAATTTTTTATTATGTAAATTTACATATGTATAGATTTTACATTTATGTAAAAAATTTGATAAAATATTTAGCATATTTTTTTTTATTTTATTATTACACCCATGTACTTACGTGGGTTAAAATTGACGTGTACTCCCATTAAATTAGATTGATAATTACACAAAGACTTGTTTCATTTCAATCATTAGTCATCCCAAAAACGATATAAAATTTTGAAAATGCAAGCCAACATCATCAACTGTCTTTTTGTATTATATAAAATAGAGTATTAAGGGATTAGGTTTGGGAAAATTAGTGAAGGGTCCCTCTTCCACTTTTCATAATGGAAGAGATCCACAAAATTATTTTTTGATGTCTAAGATCCCTGAACATATCACAGAGAAATTTAACCTTACCAAATCAAAACTCATGTCTCTCTCTCTCTAAACTTCTCCATTCTCCAGCCGATTGAGCTCTATGATCTATATATATATTGTGGGTGTGATCTGATTGGGCGGCTCTACGATCTCGTGCTCTTTTTCTCTCCTCTTCATCGTATTCTATCTATTCTGTTACTCATCAATGGAAGCTAGGGTTTAACACCGGCGAAGATGGAGTCGAAGGAGGTGCGTGGTGGGAGTATGATCAGAGCATTCTCATTCTGATTCGGATTGTCCTTTTGTTACTCCAATCCTAGAGCCCCAGTCACAGCAGCAGCAGAAAACCCCCAAGAAGAGGGGGAGAAGCATCGTCTCTGATCGGAATTGCGGCACAATGAAGCTGATAGATGGAGATTAATCAAATCAGATTCCATTTCACACACCAAATAAAAGTCAGCCTCTCTGCAGATTAGACGATTCAACATTTTATTTATATATTATTTATATAAAAGTAGTATTTTTCCCTTTCTTACGTGACATAGTCTAATTTTTTCTTTTTTTTCTAAAAAAACAACATTAGTATATTTTTTCCATTTATATATATAATTCCATACATATTTAATTTCAATTATGATAACTAATTTTATATAGACTCCATTTGAAAATGTGTTCTCTTTATTATGTGGCACATTCTAAGGATATACTTTTTTTAAAAAACAGAGCTACATAAGCATGCTTTTTTCATTTATACATAGACTTCTATACAAACTCAATTTTAATTATACTAACCAATTTTATATATTTTAAATTAATTATCACGATATTTGAAAATTGTTTTTTTATCTCAATATATAAATAAATAAATTAAGACAAAATGTGCTTGATTATGTACATCTTACAGATCAAATTAATTTTCTTTTATATTTTTATTTTTTGTCTATCTTATTGATGTCTTCATATTATTTTAGGAAAAATTAGTCTAAAGTTCCTCTCTCATTTTTAGTAATGAAAGACATCCACGATATTATTTTTTGATGTCTAAGGTCCCTCTCATCTATCACAGAGAAATTCAGCCCCGTTGATTGTTGTTTCTCTTCTTAAGCCACTTCGTTCGATGAACTACTGGCTAAAAAGCTGGGCAGAGTTGGGATTCCACCATCGGCAACAATAGGGGAAGTCATGGCTCCGGCGGTGTATCTATGACACCTCGAGTGAGGTCGGTGTATCCTGGTTCGTTTGGTCTGGGTGTCCAAGCTGGTAAATATGGAGATTCAGGTTCCATTGTTCCAGGTCGGTGGTTCCGCCATGCATGGTAGTGGTCCAGCAGTGCTGTTGATTTCCGTTCCAACGCAAGGTGAGGCGTGGGTTTATTCCTGCACATGCTAGCTGTTTGATGGCACCGTAGGAGACGATCCTTTTTTCTTGGGTTCAGCCAATCGCCAGTGGAATTCATAAATGCTTTGGTTGAATCTCAAAGTAGGGATCTGAAGCTTGTAATAGGGGAAGCAAGTCGTAGTGCCAAAAAGAGTTCAGATTTCTTCAATCAAACATGGTAAGCTCATTTGCTATTTGCTGCTGATTAAGTTTGTGATTGGTCTTATATAGGAGTCATGATTATTTATTTATTTATTTTGTGTGGATTAAACAAGGTTGAAGATGTTATTCATTATCTGAATCACAAGCCAGTTACAGATGGTCCTGGAGGCACATGAATTAGGGATCATGGAACTATTGATGGGAACTTCCTCCGAGCTCACTCACATTAGTCAATTTTTTTGACATCCCTTTTGGAAGCACTTTGCGTATACACTGACATTTCCATCTCTTTGCGAATTTCTCTGGGTTTGGGGTATTTATCTGGTTTGAGTGAATTTCTTTGGGTTTGGAAAAGGGAAATTTCTCTAGAGAGAAGGGAAAGCTAGGAAGGCCAGAGAAATTTCTTTGATGATGGCCAGAGAAAATCACAAGGGTGAGTATGTGATTTGGTCAGAGAAATTTGGGAATTTCTCTGTGAATCAGAATTCTCTGTGAAGTTCAGAGAAAATTCGACCAGAGTGAATTTCTCTGAATTGAATTTTCTCTGGTTTGGACTAGAGAATTTCTCTGGATTAAATTGAATTTTCTCTGATTTTGGACCAAAGAATTTCACTGAATTGAATTTTCTCTGGTTTGGACCTGAGAATTTCTCTGGATTAAATTGAATTTTCTGGGTTTGGACCAAAGAATTTCACTGGATTGAATTTTCTCCGGTTGAATTTTCTCTGAATCGAATTTTCTCTGAATTGATGTTGAGAGGCCTTAGACATTATAAAAATATTAAGTGTCCTTTATGCTATAAAATCATAATACCAGGGGCCTTAAAAAAAACCCCATTATTTTATATTTAATTTTTTAATTAACATTACATTATTTATTATGAAATATTTATATTTAATTTAAATTTTATATACCTATATACAATATGTATGAATAATTCAAAAAAAAATATTAAAGGAAAAATCATACTCTACATAATTAACTTATGTATTTTCTTCTTCATCCAATCACAACATATTTATATTTAATCTTTTAAATAAATTTTGTGTAATTCTATTTTTACATATTTTCATTTTCAAAATAAATATAAAAATAAAATTAGATAATTAGAATCACTTTTAAATTTATATTACCAATTCTCTTTCTAATTTAACTATTATTTTTAAGGAGCATTTTTTTTAAAGTCCCTAATAATAGTAATTTAGAGAATAAAGGACACCCAAAAAAAAGGGTGATGCATCAGGTCCCTCAACAATATCGCGCGCATTTTTAATTATTTCATGGACCAAAATACCATTCACAAATCAATGTAGAAATTAAACTGAATTCTGACGACTAAGTTCCATTCCAAACATCCAACCATCTTCACGAGCAAGAGAACAGCAGAATTAGGATTTCAATATCATCTTTACCATCGACATGAGAGTTTCATTATCTTCTGCAAAAATCTTTCCCATTCCTTCCTTACAAATTTCTTTGACCTCATTTTCACTGTTCATTGTCATCTCAGTTCATCTTCGTCACATTGCATCTTCATCTCAGGGCATATCAGTTAGTAATTAGCGTTTCATCCTAACTCTGGTAAGTTTTTCTACAATCTAACGAGTTTTTCTCTGAAAACACAGTTAATTGCATTTTATATTAACCTTTCATTAATTAGGGTTTCAATTTCATAATAAAAAGTTACATGAATTTGCAAAAAGTTATTTCTTTGTGTTTTGAACTTATTCTTGAATATGTTTGTGTGATTTGATCTGTAAATTTCTCTGACATTTGAATTTCTCTAATATTTGCTTGATGTATGTTTTTTCTTTGAATTTTCTCTAACATGTTTATTTTGAAAAAAGTTATTTATCTGTGTTTTGATCTTATTCTTGAACATGTTTGTCTGATTTTGTCTGTAAATTTCTCTGCTCTATAAATTTCTCTGGAATGTTTATTGTTAATCATATTATTTAATTTTGATGATGTCTAAAATATTATTTACAAAAATTTAGATTTTTAATATACATATTATTTGACACAAAATATTATCAGTTTAAAAATATATATATATATTTGTTAAATATTATTTAAATAAAAATATTTTTAAAAACTCTACTATTCACTTTTTGAAAATTTAGGCTGATCACTATTCACTTTTTGACAAAATTAAAATTGATAAATTATATTATTTTGACAAAATTAATTGATTGGTTGTATTATCTTGACAAATGTGATATTGATGAGTTGTCTTCTTTTGACAAAAGTGATATATCCAAATGAAGTGGTAGGTTTTGTTTAGTTAAAAATCTCTACAAAAATTTAAAAAGGGTTTGATCAGATCTATTATAAATATTACTTAAAGGGATTTTACTATATATGCAAATTGTTTATTAGAAAATTATATAGAATGTATATAATATAAATAGAATACATCACATGAGCAATTAAATTTTTTACAGTACATTGATTATATCATATTATAATAAAACAAGAAGAAAAATATGGAGTTATATATATATGTATATATATATATTATAAACAAGATGGAGCAAATCATTTGTTTGTTTGAAAGTTGTAAACTTTGTATTAAATTGTCTACAAAAACGATGGCTCCATGTTTGAAAAAACAAAAAAGAAAAAGAAAAAAATTAGTCTTACTTTTATCTTTTTAATTATTAACATTTGCTGACTATTTAAAATCAAGGAGCGTGCTTATGTAAGTCATGACATCGGGAGCGTGCTTATGTAAGCCATGACATCAGCAAAGAGCGTCCTAACGGGTATATTTTTGTGTATAAATAGAAGTGTTATGTATGGAGAAAAATCAAGAACTTGAAGAGAAAATTTTCTGTGAGCTCCAAAATTCTGAGTATATTGTATTCTGCTCTTCCACTTTCAGATCTAAGTCTAGTCTTTGTTCTTACACTTTCATATCTACTATTTGTGAGAGAATTATTGTAAAAGAGGGTTTAAGTACCACTTATTCTTATTCCTTATTTTTGTGAGAGATTTTGTAAGGGTAAG